ATCCCCAAAACCTCGAACCGTCAATCATTGACCTTCCTGCCTCGGTGGCGGTGTGCATTCCGCATTCCCGAAATCGGGGTCCTGCTCCAGATCCCTTCCCCTGGGGTTCACACATGCAGGGTGTCATAAGTCGCGTGCCGCCTGAGAAACTCGGCCGAGCAGCTATCTCAATCTCAGCGAATGATCTGGCAGTCATTTCACGTTTGGAGCTCGCCGAATTTGGCAAGTAGCTTTGCAGATGCTAGATCCAGGCTGCATGGCTTATCTGAGACCCGTGGGGGTGGTGCAAGTTGGTTTGGGGTAGCTCGCGGACGCTTGCCCAAACGACAATCAAGCATGTTGACCAGACCCTGCTTCGAGGCGCATGGAATCGAGCGGGCCTATCAATGGCCGCCAGAAGGAGGAAAAGCTTCAGCAAGCTTCTCATTCCGACTAGAGTTTTGGGAAAGCGAAAGGAGCTCAAGCTTACGGCCTGCATGTGCATGAAAGCTGTTGTGGGGTCTAGATGTGTGATCCACTTTATGTTCGAGTTGAGAGAGTCGCAAGTCGAAGCGCCAAAAGCGTGAGACTAGCCTCGGCGAGACCTTACTCTCGAATCGATATTGTTCTTGTATTTTAGTACGTAATGCGTGATTCTGTTTGGGGCATCCCGCCGATGTAATGGCTGCTGAGCTTCCTGATTTGAGACGCCCCTACGCGACTGACGGAAGAGCTTCCGACTTCTGAATCTACAAATGTTTGCATCTTTAATGATATATCACTTGCGATCGGAAGCTCTTCCGATTGTCTCATTGTCACGAAATTGTTGGATTCAGACACAATACGATCTTGAGAGCTTCGCTGGAAGCCGGCTTGATGTCGTCGAAGCCAAACACCGTCATCGCCTTGTCCTTGCCTGTCTCCTACTCCAAAGATCTCGATGACCAATATCAATACGCCTTGCCTCTTGGACAACATCCGCATCAAGCCCGAAAGCCCCGTAATAACACGAAGTTCCATCGGCGTCTTCGCCTCCACTACGAGCAAATCGGATGATGGCCACGATGCCGCTGTCACCACTGTCGTGACATTATAGAACATCGACGAAGAGCCTAGCCCTGAGGTGGAATACACCACGATGTCCCAGGATGGGTTAATACTGGTACACTGCGCCGTCGGTAAAACTAATTCAACTTGATGAACCTGAATCGAAGGGATGGATCAAACTGGAACAGGACAGCACTTCTGCCGATATATGAGGAGCTGTGCTCAGATGCCTTCATTCAGCCTGAATGACTGTGGTAAGGCAACGTCTTTGATGTGGCCAAGCTCATGAAGATCCGCCGCATTCACGAGTGTATGGGTATTTCTGCTGCTATCTGCCCATTCAGTGAGTTATTCTACAATTTCACGAACTTCCCGTCGACCGCTTCAAGATCAATTCATCTGACGCCTTCTATTTTCAGGCTTTTCAGTCATGATTCCCGTCAACACGAACCATCACCGGAAATATCCTCATCCTCAAAGCCACCGAGCGAGAACTCGGCGCCGCCGACATGACTCTCGCCGAAGTAGCTGAGCCAGCCTAAGATCGAAAAGGCTTCGAGGACAGCGCCATTAGACGCGGATGCCGCCTATCAAATTATATCAACGACAACTTGCTTGGCCTAAAGTGATAATCGGTGTCAAGCCGCGCATGAAGGAGGACATCTAGAGACCTATTACAGTGGTTCCGGAAAGCTCTCATGCTGGCGACGACTACCCAGATCGTCAACGAGAAACTTCGGGGACAAGGCTAGCACTATGACAAGCCTGTTCTGAACTTCTACATTCAGAAATGCTTGCGAGTCTATGGAAGCTGGTGACGAATACGCTACCAATCCCATCATTTTGAAGCTCACGCGACTTAGAAGGTAAACATGATTTAGAATATAGACAAAAGCAATCAAATTACTGACTCTTACAAAACCCTGCTCAATGACTCCGGCGTCAGCTGTTGAACCTCAGAGTACTTCGCTTTCACGGTGCCGCGCCAGTCGACTTGTTGTTTGTGGGATGCCGCCTGCTCTTTGCGGACTTCGGACTTTTCCTGCACCATCTCGCCGAACGGCGTTGGTGACAAAACAACCAAGCCCCTTTTCTAGCAGTGTTTGTATTGCGCGATTGGTCTGCACGTCCTTCGCCTCGGTCGTCTTGGTAGCTGAAGTTGACCTTCCTGTGGAGTTGTTATCTACGCAGGCCATTCTAGCCTTCTTGTACTGTCCCATGGCCTCCGCAGAGAGCCTCCAGCCTTTCTTCTTCATCTTCCCGTGAACATCCACAGAAATCGACTTATCAAATTTCTTCAATAACCACTCAGCACGATTCCAAAGATCTAAGCACGGCTTCGCCCACATACACGCGTCGTTCAATGATTTACGTAGCACAGAACTTGATAAAGTGCCAAGTCATAGAATGTATCACGCATATCAATTCTTTAGCAAGTCGTGCAGGATGCATCCGGGGAACCGACCACCTGGTTCTGCTTGACGTGCGCAAACGCGGGGGAACCCACGTTGGCCCCGTAAAAAGGGAAAGTCAACACGACGACACCCCTTGGTTTCCCTTATCAAGGCTAGCCCTTCGAATTAGCTGCGTATCAATAGACCAGATTACAACCTTGTTACTGCAGATAGCAAAGATATCCATGGATCTGGATTCAGCGCCAAGGTCCGTTTGGAGATAGAGAGACATGCGTGTCGCCTGACACCTTCAGCTTGTTGCCATCACTAACACCAATATGGTCGAGAATCACACCACGGCTTTGATCAATGAGACTTCGTGCTCAAATGAACTGTGCCCGGATGATACGCTGAGCGTGGATTGCGAAATGGACAAGATATAAAGGCTAAGCATGCTTCCATTGAAGCCTTCATGTCCTGTCTACTATCCACATCTCATCTAAGTTTAGCCTTGCTCCTTCCTAGTCTCCCACAGAAGACAAAAATCACGATGTCAGAGAAGAAAACAGCCGTTTCCGACTCAGCCCTTGAGCCAGTTGAATCCGTCTTCGAGGGCCAGGGCGAACAACATGGCACAACACAAAGAGGCCTCAAGTCGCGCCATGCCCAGATGATTGCCCTCGGCGGCACCATTGGCACAGGTCTCTTCGTCGGCATCGACCAGGCCCTACACATGGGCGGCCCCCTCTTCGTCCTCATCGCCTACATATGCATTACCCTCCTCCTCTACGGCGTCGCCACCGCCACAGGCGAAATGTCCTCCTACCTTCCCGTGCCCGGCTCCTCCGTCGCCTACTACGGCAACCGCTTCTTCTCCCGCTCCCTGGGCTTCACCCTCGGCTGGGTCTACTGGTACATCTTCTCCATCACCGTCCCCGCCGAGATCACCGCGACCTACATCGTCATAAACTACTGGTCGCCGCCCCTGCACATCGCCGTTTGGCTGACACTCATCGGCCTCGTCATGGTCGGCCTCAACTGCTTCCCCGTTAAGGTCTACGGCGAGGCCGAGTTCTGGTTCGCAAGCATCAAGGTCTTCGGCATCATCGGCCTCCTTATGCTCTCCGTCGTCCTCTTCTTCGGCGGCGGGCCGTCCCACCAGCCGCTCTGGTTCTCCAACTGGTCCGACCCGGGGCCCGTCAAGGAGTACATCGTCTCCGGCAACTCGGGCCGCCTCGTCGCCTTCCTCGCCACAATCACCTTCTCCGTCTACGCCTTCGCCTTCGCGCCCGAGCTCCTCGTCGTCACGGGCGGCGAGATGGACAGCCCCCGCCGCAACATCCCCACCGCCACCCGCCGCTACTTCTACCGCCTCATCACTTTCTATATCCTCGGCGCCCTCGCCGTCGGCATCATCGCGAACTCGGAGAACCCGAACCTCCTCAGCGGCGGCAAGGGCGCCGGCGCCTCCCCCTGGGCCATCGGCATCCGCGACGCCGGCATCCGCGGCCTCGACTCCGTCGTCAACGTCGTCATCGTCCTCTCCGCCTGGTCCGCCGGCAACTCCTACCTCTACCTCGCCAGCCGCGCCCTCTACTCCATGGCTCTCGCCGGCAACGCCCCGCGCATCTTCACGCGCTGCACAAAGTCAGGCGTGCCCTACTACGCCACCGCCGCGAGTGCCTCCCTCTCGCTTCTCGCGTACCTCAACGTCGCCTCCACCGGCGCCACCGTGTTCAACTGGTTCGTCAACCTCATCAACACCGGCGCCTACCAGAGCTGGATCTGCTGCTGCGTCGTCTACCTGCGCTACCGCAAGGCGGCTGACGCGCAGGGCATCGTGGACGTGCCCTTCCGCTCGCGGTTCCAGCCGTACTCGAGCATCGTTAGCATCTGCGGGTTTGGGTTGTTGCTCGTGGTGAACGGGTTCAAGGTGTTTCTGGACGGGCAGTGGGACACCTCGTCGTTCCTGACGTCGTACATTGGCGTCGTCATCTTCTTTGCGTTGTACTTTGGGCACAAGTTCACCGTGGGCAGGGGCGATGCGTGGGTGCGAGATCCGATGGACGTGGATCTGGTGAGCGGGCTGAACGAGGTTCTCGCGCAGGAGACGCCTGCGCCACCGAGGACGAAATGGTATCAGAAATGGAGGGTGTTGTTCGAGTAAATGGGAGATGTGAAGGGATATTTTGAATGCTACCAGCCATCGAGGTATCTAGGGAATTGAGAAAAAGGGGGTCGGATTCTATCCGTACACTTTCCCCCAGCTTCCGAGTCGTTGAAACGGCCGTAGACCTCTCATAACTTCAAGGTTCACCGTGCAATATCTTCATGCTTATTTCGATGCCGTTTCCTTTGGGGACTTCGCACAGGATTGTCCTATGGTCTGCTAATCTGGACACGGGGACTTGCCCGGTGCCGGTCGACCGGATATCCGATAGAACCGACCGACCCATGAGCATAGGAGGCATCCGCCGAAATGTCTCCGCCGCTCATAAACTTCTCCTTACTTCACCTCCGCCATAAAATTCACACGACATCATGCAACGATACTTCATCCGTTCACTCTCGACCTTCAGGATGGCCATGTCCGCCTTCAGCATCGACACATCCTCCTCCGCAAGCTTCCGAGTCAAACCCACCGACCTTGCCAGCGCCATATCAACGGACCCCCCAACACGAATTCCCCTCCGTCTTCGCGACATCTGGCCTCGTTACTCTATTGGAGATTACGAGCGTCCGGGTGCTCAAGCCGTATCTGGAGCCTGGCCAGCTGTCTGTAGGGGTGACTATCCACGTCTCACACACCGCCCCCACGCCTGGCGATGCCTTGGTGAGTGCTGAAGCCACATACAGAGGCAAGGAAGGGGAAATGTTCGTGTTTGATATCGTGGCCTCGGACGAGGGCGGCGAGATTGGTGCGGCGGTGCATAAACGGGCTGTTGTCGACGCGCAAAGACTTTTGGCTGAGGCCAAGAAGAGGGTTGCCGATTCGCCTTCACAGGCGATGTGACAGTTTGTCATAGTACCTGCTAGAAGTAATGAACATGACCTTTCTTTTCTAATGGCTACATGGAGATAGAAACTGCATTGAGAGCATGTTACATCACGAGAGATGTCCGCTCTTCCTGCCCCCCGTATGAATATTTTGGCTCATGAAGACAACATAACCGCGCTGGGAGGAACAGAAATCTGTGACAATATGATAGGTTTTTCTATCTGGACGGACACTTTCAGCAAGCTGTCTGGGCGGATACTTTCGGCTCAGTCGACGGATACTTTCAGATCACTTGGCGGATACTATTGACCAACTCCGGATTCTTTGCTAACGGAGGGGTACCTGAGGTATATTGACTTGCATCACTGCTCTTTTCATACATCAGATATAGAGCTGTTCCGTTAATCTTACTGCTCATCACTACCCGCTTAAACAGCCTAATTCGGTATGATTACATAGAACGATATGTAAACTACCGACTATTATATTGAAATAAAAGGTGAAAATGATGGAGAAAAATCTAAGTCCGTTGCCGTTCTTAGCTTTAATGATCTAGTAGGGAGTAGATCGATACTGCTCGCTATTGAGCTCTGTTCAAGTGCAGATCTGGCAGTCACCATACCACACATCAACTGGATACGAGGCCGAGCAACGTTGAATTGAACGCAAACAAATGTATTACTTTTATTTAATCAAACGTGATTTTGGTACCGGTGTGCTTGGCCGCAGCACCCGTCAGTCTCGCAACCATCAGATCGTCCTGCGCCTTGAGCTCTCCCGCCGGCTTGGCAGGACGAGGCTTCCTCTCCCGCACCTCTCCCTCCGTCTCACCGCCCTCCTGCTGCTCCCTCTTGGGCGCGCCCTTGCCGAAGCGCTTCTTGTACCGCGTCTGGTCGTCCTCCGCCAGCTCAATCTTGAGCGGACGGCCAAGCAGCTTGTTCACCCACCACTTCCTCGTCTTGACCTTCTGCTCCTCGACCGGCTTCTTCTTCTGCTTCTTCTCCTCTCCCTCCTCCTCGTCATCACCCCCGTCCTTCATCTCCTCGTCGCCCTCCTCGTCCTTGCTCTTCTCCTCGACAAAGTCCTCCTCCGTCTCGATCTCCTCCTTGATCTTGACGAATCCCTTGACAGCCCAGCCTGCCGACTCGGGCTCTCTGAACTTGACCCATCCGTACCCCTTGCACTTGCCCGAGTCCTCAAACGTCGCGACCTTAACCCAGTCGATCTGCCCGCACTTCTCAAAGTGCTGCTGCACGTCCTCCTCCGTCGTCTTGAAGCTCAGGTTGCCCACAAAAATCTTGCTGCTCGTCGGCACCTCCTCCTTCACCGCCGCCTTACCCCCAGCACCGCCCTCCGCCGCCGTCTCCGCCTCCTTCTTCGGCCGCCCCTCAAACGACCGCGCGTCCTTGATCAGCAGCTTGCGGTGCCCCAGCTCCGCCTCCGTCAGCGCGAGCGCCGCGATCTTGGGCGCGACGTCGTCAAAGTCGACGTACGCGAAGCCCTTGTTGTTCGGCTTCTCGCGGCCGGCGACCTTGGTCGTCGGCATGTGCAGCCGCGTGATGCTGCTCTCGGTGATCATCTCGCCCGAGTTGGCCATCAGCCACTTGCGCAGCTCGTCCGCCGTCACGAAGAAGGGCAGGTTGCCGACCCAGACGCCGTGCTCGGAGCGCTTCGCGGCCTCCGCCTTGTCCTCCTTCTCCTTCTTCTTCTTGGCCTCGCGCTCGTCGTCGCTGTCGAGCTTGGGCGGCAGCTTCTTGCCCTTCTTGAGCGCGCGCTTGGCGCGCTTCGAGGGCGGCTCCGGGGCCTCGAGGTCGACTTCGATCTCCTCGACGTCGGCGGTGGAGGACTTGCGCTTCTTGGAGGGCTTGTCGGCGGTGTCGTCATTGTCGGACGAAGCGGCGGCGGCTTCGTCTTCGTCGTCGGTCTTCTTGGACTTGGACTTTGACTTCTTCTTGGGTTCGGGGGAGGCGGCGTCGGCGACCTCCTCCTCGACGACTTCCACCTTGGTCTTCTTGGACTTCTTCTTGGGTCCAGGCGCGTCGGCGACTTCTTCGGTAACCTCTTCCTTGACCTTCTTGGACTTCTTCTTCTTCGGTTCGGGGGATGCGGCGGCGACGTCTTCGACGGCGACCTCGTCCTTGACCTCCTTGGTCTTGGACTTGGACCGCTTCTTGGATTCGGAAGTGGCCATTGTGGATGGTTTGTGAGGTGCGCAAAGGCCTGGAAGTCCCGGTGTGTTCGAGAAGCTTCAATGGCGATCGGTCTGTTGCAGGTCGCGCGACTGAGAATCTCGACCGTAGGGACCCTTTGCCAATGGACTGCCCCGAAATTTTTTTTTTGTTCTTTCGATTGAGACTGATAAGCGATAAGGCGATAAAGAGTGGTTGCTTGGTGGCCCGTTCACCGAGACTGACCTTTGTGGGTCCCGAGGTTGGCCGGGCGGATGTAGCGGTACCGGTGCCAGGTGCATGTACAGGTTCCTACCTACTTAGGTACCTTTGCATCTTGCTGTGGCCGCAGAGAACTGACTCTGTTTAATGTTTTAGTGCCAAGCCAGATCCAAGTTCCCATGATGGCTGGGCGATTCCGCCCAAACCACGACTGGTTTTTTTCTTCCTTTTCTTCATTCCTGAGTGCAGAGCCCTGAGTAAGCTCCGAGGGAATGGTTCCAATCGATCGAAAGGAAGAAATGATTACTGAGACCTGCGGGTTTTACAGTTGAGACCATGGTGTCGTGGATGGCTGCATCCCTTTGGCCTGGGCATCCATCCTCACTCACACTGGACTTGTTTTGATTCAGCTGCTGCTGCAGGTTATCAACCGCAATAACATACCAGGATTATTGTATAGTACGTGGTGCGGAAGATGAGCATAAAAACGAGACATCCCGAGGCAACAAAGCGCAATGTAACGTAAGAACGAGATGAGTTAAGTCAGAATTAAGCACTTGGCCCTCCAAGGTCGGTGAGGGGGCATCCACTCGGCAGCCGGGGGTTCCAGGTCTCCCTTTTCAGGGACAGGATCCGAAGTGCTCGCCGGTTGCCGCTCGGAGGTCTCTGTCAATGGACGGTGCAATGTAGCCGATTGGGAAAGGCAGCCGGAGCAGGCCGGGACACGTCGGCAAGCCGGGCGGCGCTTCACGGCTTGCCAAGGCCGCGTCCCAGCCATCTCTATTCAGTTGGCATCCGCAGGCCGACACGGCAGCGAGTCTCCCCAGCTGAGGGGCACACCGTAGCCGTTCACGGCGGCGGGCAGGACGGCAGCTGAGAAAGAAGGCGGGAGAAGGAGAGTGACAGTCGAATGAAAAAGCGATGAAAAAGCGCCTGTGCAGAGACAGGAACAGGCTAAGGCAGCTAGGAGCTGAACCCCACATGCAACACCACCATCAAGCCACCACTAAGGAGGCGCCAGCGCCGTCGCCTTGGAGCCCTCCGTCATCCACTCACGTGCGGCCATTTTCTGACGAATGAGACCCGCCAGCCGCCTGGCGAAACCTCCAGCGCCAGCCAACCGCCGCCCCGGTTCCGCGGTACGTACCTTTTGTCGGTAAAAGTACCGCTACCTCTGCAGGTGTACACGATGGACCTCTGCAGCGCTGCACCCTTGCCTTCCCTTCCCGCCCTTGCTGTTTCGGCATTGTAGGGCACCCATCGGGTTCATCAGTCACGCTCGCTGCAGCAGTGGATGCCCACCCCCCCTTGACCGCCTCTGCCTCTGGTTAATATTACAGGCGGCCTGCAGCAGCCTCCATCCACTGACAGAGCTGCAGTGCAGATTCTGGGTGGATGCGTCCAACGGGATCCAGCCAACGCACGTTGCTTGGGTGTGGATGGGGTTTGGCAAGGGTGGTGGCCCACAGGTCACCGTCACCACCTTATCCGTACAGGTATGTAGCCTCCACTGGGTACGGGTACGTTGGGCCCCCGTCTCTAGCCTAACAAGCACCATTGTGGAAGGCCAAGTCCGCTGTATTCTCACGCAAACCAACCGAGAAACCAGACGAAAAAAGGTAAAGGGCCCTTTTTTCCCACTCCTCCTCCTCCACCTCGCTCGCCCTCTTCCACTGCTTTGCTTTCGCTTCCGTTGCTCCATCTCCATCGCTCCCCTTGACACTCCTCCCAGGCCTTTGCCCCCCAAACAAATCCTCCTTCTTTCCCCTCACCATTCACAACCACAACAACATTCACACGACTTCATTCAATCGCCAGCACCACTTCTGATCGCTTTGCCCACCTCGCCGTCTCGTCGCTTTCAATCAGCAGAAGCTGGCATTCTAGACGTTCCTGGACTGTTGTCGTCGTCGCTTGTCTGGTCGCAACCGTCGTCGTCATCCAGACTCAAAAACCCACCGACACCCGACCGACCGATCGTTCGCACTCATTCCGACCATGAATGTGCTGCTCTCGCCACAACCGCCCCTATTCCAACATCCCCACGACGCAAACCGCATCTCTCCCTCTCGCTCTTGTCAGTATTTTCCCGCTGCCTGCGTTTGAGTGCTTTTCCCCCCATTGCGCTGCTTCAGAAACGGCCCAGGCTTCGCCGTGCATCCCGACCCGACGCTAACCCGAAAACAGTGAGCCCATTTCACAACATGGCCACCAGCCGCAAGCGCAAGGCCGACGAAGATGGCGACGAGATGTCCCTCTCCCCCAGAAGCTCCCCTTCCGCCTCGGCGAGACAGCTCGCCCGACCGTCGAAAAAGGTCCGTTCCAACGAGCTCATCGGCCGCCCTCTCACGCTCCCCCGACTCCTCGAGACTTTGGATCCTACCCAGCTGCGCACCGTCCTCGAGCGCATCTGCGAACGCCACCCTGAAATCGGCCACGAGGTTGTCACCGGCGCCCCCCGACCGACGGTTGACGCCGCCCACGGCGTCCTGCGGGAGTACCAGGAGAAGATGAAGGCCGCGATACCCTACGGCGAAACCAGCCCCGACTACACCTACTACCGTGTCAAGGCGCCACTCACAGCCCTGATCGACGCCCTCCTCGACTTCACTCCCCAGTATCTGCCCCCCAACGAGACCCAGACCACTGTCTCGTTGCAATATCTGGACGGCGCCACCAAGATCATCCACCAACTCCCTGACTGGGAGCCCCAACAGTACCGCCACCACAAGGAGAGCGCATACGACGAGATCTCCAAGGCCTGGGCCCTGGTCGTCAACGAGGCCGCCAAGCGCGGAGGCGGCCTCAGCCTGCACACCGGCGGATGGGACGAGACCCTGGCGAAACACCACGAAATCTCTGGCGGACGCATGGGCACGGCAATGAACGCGATGGCGGCGGGAGTGAGCTGGATGGCCGCCAACTCGGCGAACGGAGGAGGACAATCCGCAAATTCTACATCGGACCCGAACTCGATTCTCAACCAACTCATGTCTGGAACGTATGGAGCGCCTGTGCGTGTTGGACCCTGGTAAAGGCGAGGAGGACGTAATTGGCGATGCATGACGGGCCACGACAGGACCAGATCGGCCCACGGTCGATCGCTTCACTGAACATATCACGACGACTATAACGACGGCTTCTTGGTCATTTTCGACTTCTTTTTTCTCTTTCCACACTTCATTCAGCATGGGACGGCAAAGGGCATAGACTTTTGGTTTCCGTGGACAAATTCATGTCAAAGGCTGGGGTTGGGCGGCGTTTTGTCATTTTTCCTGATTGATGATATCCCTTTCCTATCGCATGCCGCGCAGTCGTTCCCACGCAAGGGACGTTGGGTCCGTTTCATGACGGCACAACCTCTCCCTGCGAACACATTGGGTCTGACGAGGAAATCGAGTCACACATTCCACGTGTAGGTAGTTTTGGTATTTGGAGGGTGTCACACAGCACAGGGGAGGAGGAAGCATTGGGGGTGGCAAGCAATCTACAAACCCTCCCACTTGGGGAGTTTTCTGTCCAAACACACAAACACATACATAATTATCGCTCTCTCAATGGCGTCTGTCGCAATTTGGTGAGCCGTGTCATGATCATCCAGTCATGGGGTGCAGTTCTCGAGTCGTGCAGAGCGGAGCGTCTGTTTCATCGGCGTGAGCCAACTGCCGTACTTACTTGGGTATTCATCGATTGAGGCATGTCAAGGCAACATGAGAAATTAAAAGTATTAGCACCGCACATGGGATACCTGCAGCCAAAAGTGTGTCCCTAGCACCGTTCGCCCGTTTGTGAGTGGGCTAAAAGGACGCATCTGTTTCAACTGCCCACGGCATCGGTGACACGAATCACACGATGGGCAGCCGTCCGTCCATCCATCCACCACTCACTCGTGTACGGTGACTTTTGTGTAAACTGGGCCAAACTTTCCAGCAAGCTAGGTAGGTAGAACAAGGTAACCCCGTTGCTCCACGCGGCAGCCTTCTCTTCCCACAACCTGTGCATCCGATAGTTTCTCACGAGTTGGCTTTCCGGGGTTCTACGATGGGTTTTGTCCCTTCTTCTGACGCAAACCCCCTCCCTCCGTGCGTGCCTGATCATCATCAACCCATAACCAGTAACCGGGTCTTGCCTGTTGTCTGGTCTTTACGTAGCAAGGATCTTGAAGAAGGTTTCCGTGTTCCTTCGTTATTTCATTCTCCCCCAATCGATCGCGCAGCTTCATCTCGCCGAAGATGGAATGAAATAAGCAGCAGGCACAGCGTCACTTGACCCCGCGGTTCGTGCGCTGGAGCCAGGCCTGAAACCCGTGTCGAATGCACGTCTCTCGCCCGTCGTGATGAGATTGGGTTGGCATTCGGGGAAGGGCACCGAGGAAAGGGCTTCTTTTTTTTGCCCATCTTCACACACACACCTGGGCCGTCCCCGATTACGAGATGAGGCGCCGCCCAACGACTTGCGTCCGGGCCGTCAAGGGTGCTCCAGGGAAGCTTTGGCGGGGTAGGTTTGTGAAGGTCCACCGGCCACGGGTGGCCTTGCCCTTCTCCAACCGTTCACTGTTCGGACGACAGGCGCCAGCGCCGCGGCGAACTCTCAGGTACCGTCAGCGGGTAGAGTACCTGCCGCTTCAGCGCCCCGGGCCTGGGAGGAGCCTTATTGGTGTCCCGTCCCGCCAGGGTTGGTGGGGTCCAGGCACCAGGCAGGGGCTTATCTAATCGTCCACCTTGAAGGCACCTTACATACGTCACGTGAAGACCCGGCCTCGACGCGTGAACTGAACGCGCCACCCACCTGCAGTCACAAC